TTTTGGAATCAGGTGAGAATTCAAGTTACATAACTAGGTTATATAGAGTATCCAGAAACATCAGTGTGCATGTAATGATTTTATTTATCTTGAAAGTACAGTTGATCATTGAACAATGCAGGGATTAGGGTCTCCGACCCTCTGCGTTGAAAATCTGCATATAACTTTCAATTCCCCCCAAACTTAACTGCTAGTAGCCTACTGTTGACCAGAGGGCTTACAAACACTATAAACAGTCACTTAACACCTATTCTGTATGTTAAATGTATTATATACTGTATTCTTGCAATAAAGTAAGCTAGAGAAAAGAAAATGTTATTAAGATAATCCATAAGGATGAGAAAAATACATTTACAGTATTTATTGAAAAAAAAAAATCCATGTGTAAGTGGATCCATGCACTTGGAACCTGGGTTGTTCAGGAGTCAACAGTATTGCCTTTTGGAGAGGTTAGTAGTATTGAAACAGCATTATTCTGGGAATTGGCAGACTCTATGGATCCCAAGTGGAAAAGACTCCCAGATGGGTGACTAGGAGTTCAGTTCTTTTGACAGTTATCTTGACTACAAAGCCTGTTTTGAATTTGAAGGAGGAACTAATCTCTATGGTGCCAGTCTCCATGAGGTTAGGATGGGGCATAAGCTAGTGAAGACTCTGCCTTATATTTGTCTGAACATTTTTTTCTCTGAAAATTTTTTGAAAGTTATTTTGAAATTTTTAAAAAGATGAATTTAAAGTTATACAAATACTACATCTTATATAGCCATATTATTATCTCAATAAACCCAAAAAGCATTTGACAAAATTCAATTTCTGTTCCTGGTAAAAACTTTATGCAAACTAGGAATATAAGAGAACTTCCTCCTCTGATAAAGAGCATCTGTGAAAAACTCATAGCTAACATTGCACTTAATGGTCAAAGACTGAAGCCTTTCTCTTAAGATCAGGAACAAGATGAGGATGTCTGCTCTTCCTACATTTATTCAACATTGTACTAGAGATTCTGGATAGCACAATTAAAAAAAAAAAAAGAAATCCAGTGTGAAAAAGAAATAAAACAGTCCTAATTTGCAGGTGGCATGATTATTTATGTGGAAAAATCTGATGAAATTTATAAAATTGTTGTTAGGACTAGTAAAGCAGTTTATCAAGTTTGCACAATATAAGATCAATAAACAAAAATCAATTGTATTTCTATATAATAGCAATGAACAGTTGGAAATTAAAATGAAAAATAAAACCAAATGACATCAAATTAATGAAACGGGAATAAATCTAAGACATTCAAGACGTATACACTGAAAAATACAAATGCACTGAAAAACATAGCTGAGAGAAAGACCTCAATGAGTGGAGAAAGATACTGTATTCATGGATTAAAAGGCTCAATATTGTTAAGATATCATTTCTTCCCAAATTGGTCTATAGAATTGATACATCTCAATCAAAATGTCAACAGGCTTCTTTGTAGCAATTGACAAAATTACTGATTCCTATCATGCATAGAACCTAGAATAGCCAAAACAACTTAGAAACAGAACAAAATTGGAGATCTAGCACTGCCTTAATTCAGGACTTCATATAAAGCTAAAGCAAAATGAGTATGCGGTATTGGGATAAAATAGGAAAACAGATCAGTGGAATAGAATAGAGTCCAAAAATAGACCCATATGTATCTGTAATAATGATTTTCAACAAAGGTGCGTAGGCCATTCAGTGAAGAAAGAATAGTCTTGGAGATGGGAAAAAATGATAGAAGCTTTGTTCATCCCTCTTGCGAGTAAATCAAAATTGTATTAGAAACACAGAGCAAATAGCGAGGAAAGTTGCTGGGGATCTACACGAACAGAAGCACTACAACTAGGGAGAGAAATAATCACCCTGCAATAGTAGAAGGTAGGAGGGGGCAGAGGCACAAGGCTGCCTGGTCCCCAGTGACTGAGTGGGACAGAGGCAGTACAGACACCTCTTAAAGAGGCTGTGTCTGCAACTAGACCTTTGTGGTGACGGACCCGCTTGCTCTGAGCACCAGTGCCTGGTCGACTGCAGGGGTGGGGCACGAGTGACTTGCAGGGGGCCACTGAGTTGTTGGAGCGAGGGCCAGAGGCGAGACTCTCCTGGGCAGAAGTGCCAGTGGTATCCATTGTTTCTCTGTTGAGTTCTCCCCTTCCGAGTCTGCGGACTCAGTGCTGCCATAGCTGAGACTTTACCAAACTGGATAACAGAAGTCCCTCCGCCCAGAGGGGTCTCTGAAATTCTGCCTCCTCCAGCTCGTGGCCCTACCCAAGCCACATCCAGGTGTGTCCTCCGCCCGTCTGGTGCTCCTTGCTAAGTAGTGCCAAGATTCACACTGGTGGCAGCTGACCTCGGTTTCTGATGTGGTTTCTTGAGGCAACTGTAAGTACAGCATCTGTGGATTGCTTACTGAATGTTAACAGGTGGCCCTGGAGGGGCACAGGGTGCGGCTAAACTTGGCCTGCAGCTGAATCCCTCTCAGTACCGTGCCACTGGACACCAACTACACAAAGCCAGGCTAATAAGACCGGGAGACTTAGGAGGTTTGCTTAGTACATAGAAACAGACACAGAAAGGCAGATAAAATGAGAAGATAAAGAAGCAGAAATCATATGAGAGAACAGAACAGAGATCCAGGAATAATGGAGTCAAGCAATCTAACAGATGCAGAGTTCAAAACACTGATTATAAAGATGCTCAGTGAATTAGAGGAAATGTAGATGAATTCAGCAAGAACTTTAACAAAGAAAAAACATAAAAATGGAAATGGAAATTGTAAAAGAGAATCAGTCAGAATTGAGGAACACATTACCTGATGATGAAGAATATATTAGAGGGAATCAACAGAGTAGATAAGAGTATCGAACCACTGCTAAAAGGAAGGGGATGGAAAAAGATATTGCCTTGATGGACCTAGAGGTTATTGTCCTGAATGAAATGGATCGGATAGAGAGAGACAGATATCACATGATTTTACATACATGTGGAATCTAAAGAACAAAATAAGAAAAGCAGGAATAAACTCATAGATACAGAGAATATTTTGAGGGCTACTAGATGAGAGGCAAGTTGAGGGGACGACGAAAAAAGACAAAGGAATTAAGAAGTACAAATGGATAGTTGCAGAATAGACATGGAAATGTAAAGTGTAACATGGGGAAGATGGTTAATAATGTAATAAATATGTAAGGGGGAAGAGGGGCACTGGATTTAGTGGGGTGATCACTTTGTGAATTATGTGGATCTCTGATCACTATGCTGTACTACTGAAACTGGTATATTATTGTATGCCAACTATAATTGAAAAAAAAACGAATTGTACAAGGTAAATACAAGCAACTAATTGTCTGTTATATTTCAATAAAGCCCCCCAAAAGAAAAAGCTTTAAAGAGTAGTGTTTTAAACAAATGGTATTGGACTAATTGGATATTCATGTGTAAAATAAAATGAATTTTGAGCCATATCTCATATCACATATAAAAATCAACTAAAAATGAATCATATACCTAAACGTAAAACCTAAAACTATAAAATGTCTAGGAAAAAAACAGGAGAAATTTTTTATGACCATGGTTTAGGCAAAGAGTTCTTAAACATGATACCAAAATCACAGTTCATAAGGGGAAAATTGCTAAATTGGACATTGTTGAAATTAAAAATTACTCTTCAGAATATGTTAAGAGAATGACAGAAGAAGGTACAGACTGGAAGAAAATAGTTGTAAAGCATATATGATAAAGGACTTAGAATATATAAAAAATTCTCAAAACTTGATAAGAGAGCTAACAACCCAATTAAGAAATTGGCAAAAGATAAAGAGACCCTTTACCAAAGAATATATATGGATGGTAAACAAACCACATGAAAAAATGTTCAGCACCATTTTTGAGCGAAATCCAAATTGAAACCACATTGGAGTTATCACTAGACACCATTAGAATGGATACTATTAAAATGACCACACCAAGTGTTGGTGAGAACGTGGAGGAACTGGAACTCTCATGAGAATATAAGGTGGTATAACCATTTTGGAAAACAGTTTGGTTGTTTTTTAAAGGGTTAAATATATGCCTATCGTATGAGTCAGCCATTCTACTCTTAGGTATTTACCCAAGAGAAAAGAAAGTGTGAGTTCATACAGAGATTTGTACATCAATGTTCATAGCAGTTTTGTAGTATCTTAAAACTGGAAACAGTTCAAGAGCCCATCAATAACTAAACGGGCAAACTGTGAGGGACCCATAAAATAGACTGTTACTCAGCAACGTAAAGGGATGGCCTGTTGATGTACAGTATAATGTGGGTGGATCTCCAAAGCATTATGCTCAGTGAACAAAATAAGACAAAAGAAGACTACATACTCTAATTCCACTTATGAAATTCTAAAAGGTAGAACTATGGTGACAGAAAGCAGATCACTGGTTGCCAGGTGCTGAAAGGAGAAATTACAGAGGGGCACAAGGAACCGTTTGATGATGATACATACTTTCATCGTTTTGGTTGTGCTAATGTTTAGATGGATATATACATACATCAGAGCTAATGAAATTGTATAGTTTAAATATATACAGTTTATTCTGTCTCAATTATACCTTAATAAAACTTAAAAAAATTGATAATACTTTGATGGGTATTTAATACACTTTGTCTTATGTGGTTGGTTCTCACTATTAAGTAGAAAATTAGCAACTGCAAGTGAGGAAACTGATACTTAAAGGGGGTTAACTAACTTATGCAGGCTCACCCAGCTGGCCGAGTGCAAAACGGCCAGCTGCTGCCTACCATTGGTACTTACTGCCAGATGGGATCACCACATCTCTCATCCTGGGTTCTAAGACTAATATTATTTTATTGTTTTTTTTTTTTTTTCATTAAACCTTTGGGAAACTACATTTTATTTATGTTCTTTTAATGTTTCTCCTGTAGATATTGGCAGAAACAGGTGCTGCGTGATTTTTTAACTGTGTCTCATGTTCTCCCTCAGGGCACAGTCTTTTGCTGAGCGTCTGCGACTGGGAATTGCAGTGATTCATGGAGAAGCTCAGGATGCTGAGTCTGACTTGGTGGATGGACGGCATTCTCCACCCATGGTCAGGAGTGTAGCTGCCATCCACCCTAGCCTGGAGATCCCCAGTAAGTGTGCTGCCCCTCTTTTTTGCTTTCTTCTTTGATTTTAAGGCTGACAGTTTTTATTTTTTTCAAATATTCTTTACTTTTTTGTTTTTTAAGTTGGCAAAAACTGATTAATACCTTTCCTGGCCTGGTTGTAGCAAGTGTACTTCTGATGGCCCTGTAGTCTGTAGAGCTTTTTACAAGCAGTCTATTTGATCATAGCCAAACCTATGAAAGTGCTCAAACTATTTAGACTCAGTTGTGGCACTTAAGGGAATTTCATTCATTCATTCAGTAATATATCCTATAGTTTAACATAAAGAAAAGGTTTTTTTATGCACAGGTTATTCACCATAGTGTTATTTTTATTGCAAAATATTAGAAAAGTCTAAATGGTTTATCAGAGGGTAGGGCTTAGTAAACTGTGTTAAATCACTACAACTAATTATGCAGCCCTTCGAAACAAGAGGTAATCTATGGAATATATGTGAACAAGACAGAATACAAAGTGTATACTTATCTTTGTGCAAGGACCAGGAGGGACTATGAAGAATGAAAATCCATTATGATGGGATGGTAAGAGTTACATGTGAATTTGTTTTTGTTTTTAAGAAACTTCCCTCATGCTTTAATAACATCTTTCCAATTAAAAAAATGGCTTTGTTTGAGTTTGTTGGGGAGGAAAAACTTTTCTTCCACCCTCTTTACATTCAGTGCTTAGGGGCCTGTAAATGAAACTGACAAAAGATAGATTAGCAAGAGAAAATACAGATTTTAGGAAGGTTAGAATTT